TAAAAGTGGTTCAAAGGCTGATGGCTTGTTTCTCTACTGTAGACTTTTGTCGACCATCTCGAGAAACCCGCCTGGTAGAGCCTGAGTAAGTATCACCCGGAGAATTTTTGAGCACTTACCAGTAATGGTCGATCACAGCAGCTTCTCCGAGTTTGCGCAAGAAGTTCTCATCGTGAGTGATGATAATTAGCTGGAAGTTTGCTTGAGCCCGACGTTCGCGAATAATACTAAATAAAAGATATCAGTACAGAATGCGGAAGTCATATCTACGTGTACATACTCTACAAGACTCTGCGCGAGTGCTTCAATATTGTCAATGTCGAGCGCATTAGTCGGTTCATCCAGTGCCAGGATCCCACAATTCGCTCCAAAGCTGTCTGACAAAGCGAGACGAATTATGATAGAAGCAAGCATCTTCTGGCCGGCTGAACATCGCCCTCTCATATCCATCTCAACTTGATCCTTGACCATGACGACCTGAGCTGCACTGAATGGAGATTTCTAGAAAACACCACGGAAAGCTTACTCTATAGTTATAATTCCGCTTGCCTGTAGCTCCTTCTCCTTCTGATATGATCTTAATGCCATCAATATCTGTGGCAACACGTGACTATAGATCGAGCAGAGGATGGAAGAGCTTACCAGTGCCTTGATAGGTTCTATTCCATAGATATCTCATCGTGTCATTCACTTCTGCCATTTTGATAGAGTGGTACTTCATGATAGCACTACACTGCTGTTAAGCACACTTCCTCACTCAGGTAGTTGCTTACCTATCCAGTGCTTTTGCGTAAGTCTCCAAGTCACTATTAATCATTTCTGCCATCTGTAAAAGAATTGGTTGCTATCCATACTTGAAAATAATAAGCTACCTTAGTCTTTACCAACTGATCAGTGTACTTCTTCGCTGCATCCCTATACTCGCGCCCGTCAGCCTCAAGCCCTTTTAGTTGGGCTCGTAGGCTAGTTAGTTCTCCTTGAAGATGCTGAGACTAGAAGAATTTCTTGCCATGAGATGGGGATCCTACATATCAGGTGAGCTCTCACCTGTCTAGTTGCTTCTTCCTCTGCGGCTTTGGCCTCTTTGTATTTCGCATCAAACTGCTTGTGGGCTTTGCCAGCTTCTTCGAGGTTTAAATTCACCATTTTCTTCTCAGTCTCCTCGATATCTCGTTTTATTTTTCTCATAAGCAAGTTGTTATTGAGGGTTGCAAGAGTTGAAGTGGCTGATGACACCTCGTCTCCTAGTTTGT